GAAGTGTGAAGTGTGAAGTTTGGAGTGTGAAGGAAGCAGTGAGAAGTGAGAAGTGTGAAGTGTGGACTGTGAAGTGTGAAGTGTGAAGTGTGGAGTGTGAAGTTTCGGTTTGGAGTGCGAAGAGGGCAGTGTGAAGTGTGAAGTGTGAGGTTTGGAGTGTGAAGGAAGCAGTGAGAAGTGAGAAGTGTGAAGTGAGAAGTGTGAAGTGTGAAGTGTGAGTGAGGTGTGGAGTGTGAAGTGCGAAGTGAGAAGTGTGAAGTGTGAAGTTTGGAGTGTGAAGTTTGGAGTGGGAAGGAAGCAGTGAGAAGTGAGAAGTGTGAAGTGTGGACTGTGAAGTGTGGAGTGTGAAGTGCGAAGTGAGAAGTGTGAAGTTTGGAGTGTGAAGGAAGCAGTGAGAAGTGAGAAGTGTGAAGTGAGAAGTGTGAAGTGTGGACTGTGCAGTGTGGAGTGCGAAGAGCGCAGTGCGAAGTGTGAAGTGTGAGGTTTGGAGTGTGAAGGAAGCAGTGAGAAGTGTGAAGTGTGGACTGTGAAGTGTGAAGTGTGAGTGAAGTGTGGAGTGTGAAGTGCGAAGTGAGAAGTGTGAAGTGTGAAGTTTGGAGTGTGAAGTTTGGAGTCGGAAGGAAGCAGTGAGAAGTGAGAAGTGTGAAGTGTGGACTGTGAAGTGTGGAGTGTGAAGTGCGAAGTGAGAAGTGTGAAGTTTGGAGTGTGAAGGAAGCAGTGAGAAGTGAGAAGTGTGAAGTGAGAAGTGTGAAGTGAGAAGTGTGAAGTGTGGACTGTGAAGTGTGGAGTTTGAAGTGCGAAGTGAGAAGTGTGAAGTTTGGAGTGTGAAGGAAGCAGTGAGAAGTGAGAAGTGTGAAATGTGGAGTGTGAAGTGTGAAGTGTGAAGTGCGAAGTGAGAAGTGTGGACTGTGAAGTGTGAAGTGTGAAGTGTGGACTGTGAAGTGTGAAGTGTGAAGTGTGAAGTGTGCAGTGTGAAGTGTGAAGTGTGAGGTTTGGAGTGTGAAGGAAGCAGTGAGAAGTGAGAAGTGAGAAGTGTGGAGTGTGAAGTGCGGAGTGTGAAGTTTGAAGTTTGGAGTGCGAAGAGTGCAGTGTGCAGTGTGAGGTGTGGAGTGTCGAGGGAAGGACACGGTCGGGACAGGTTGTCTTGGAACTATAGGTCATTTATGTTTGGGAAACTTCCGCCCCCGGCTTGCCCGGGTCTATGTAATAAAATACTATGATATAATACAATATCATTTCATACAACCGAATACAGTATTATAACATAATTTAATACAACGTCACAAATATATTCTCATAAGTACTTTATAACATAGCACAAAATAGTATATCATAGTATAGTATAAATTCGTAGAGTACGGTATAATATAGCGTAATAAAGTATAATACATGATTTAGTATCATATGATATGATGTTACGTGATATGAGATACCAAAAACAACACAATAAAACACAATATGACACAGTACAACAAGACACAATAGAATTGTTTATGAAAAAAAATAATATAATAATATATACTACAATGTATAGTTTTGCAGTACATATGAATCACATATATGTATATTACATACATACTTACAGCGACGTTTATATATTTACACATTATGTGGAATCTCGGCCTCCAGCTTTCGTTGCTGTGGTAACGAAGATGAGGCAATGGGTGACAGAAGCAGACGACCCGCGCATGGTCATGTACCGCCACAGAGACCGCAGGCGCGACAAAAATGTCGCAGACATTTGCTGCACTGTAGTTATACACTGTAGTTCTTTAATATGGAGTTCCTTGTAGTTCCTTGGAGTTCCTTGTTTGTGGAGTCCCCGAAATGCGCCTACTGGCTTGGAACCCACTGATATTTTGCCATCCATTATTGATGCTTGACGCCTCAGGAACCATCCAGAGTTCGAGCGGCAAACACGGCAGATTGTTGGCCAGGTCTTGACAGACAAGGCTTTTTGATTGTCTAAGAAGGTTTGGAGGATAGGAGGTGTCTATTGGAGGTATCTATAATGTATCAATGATATTGAAATCTCCGCATTTTCCTTCAGGCAAGTTTATACATCAATAGCTCAGATACCCCAAAAAGCATCAGTTGACTCTCTTTGAGCAAGAGTAATTTGGTTTGTGCCCAAGCGAGAGGTGGATCTTAGCCGGATGGGAATGGCCAAGCTGCGAGGATGTTGTTGCCTACTGCATGCAACCACTATGGTTTGCATCTTCTTTCAATCTAAGTTGAAATGAGGCTGCATGAGCTTGCGGGAGGCACCAGCCGTTCTGATGTACTCCAGCACCTTTTTCTCAACCACAAAACGTATCAATGACAAAACGTGAAGCAAAACAAATGCAAAACAAAGCTTTTGCGGGCGTCAGGAACAAAAGCTGCGCTTCGGCACTTTTACTGGGTTCAATGGGTTCAATTCTAAACTTCAAGTTGAAACCTTTCCCAGTCGCCAGGAAAGTTGTGCAATGAGATCTCTCTCTCTCTCTCTGTTGGAAAAAAGTCTTCCCTCTGTGAATTGGCCAGTTAGTGCCTACCCAGGATTCGTGGAGCATGCTCAGCAGACTTGAACCATTCGGCAGTCAAACAGGGGGCATGGTGCATGAGTAGTGAACCATGTTTCTCAGATACTGGGTTTTGGCCAGCAGAGTTGCAGATGACCAAGGTGGCACATTGCAGCAGATTGACCACCTGCATCGTTTGTTTCATCAAGTAACCTGTTTGTTTGCATCTTGTACCGCTGGGATCCTGCATTTGGAGATATAGCTGAATGATTTATATAATGCCCACTGCTTGTATCTTTCTAGGAAACGCTTCTCAACTTCACAACGTTTGAGAAAGAGCCTGCGTCCAAATCATCCACAGACCCAAACCAAGCGGCAAAGGCTACAAGTGACACTGTAATTAGAAAATCAAATAGAGGAAGTTGTTGTAAATCCGCGTTTTTTGTCAATCTGATATTTTGATGTAGTTTGAATCTTGTCTCGGACTGCTCATCCAAGCTATCAGGTTCTACCAGCATCGTTTCGGAAGATGCCATGCCCAGTGCCTTGATTGGCGAACCTTTGTGCACTTTTAATCCCACAGCCCAGAAACATCCAAAAACCAAGAGAGGCTCTTGCTACAGCACTCTTGCTGGTCTTGCAGTCTTCTGACCCTAGCTGCTCCTAGCTGCCAGAGTCTGGTCGACCGGTGAGGTGAGGGTGCACTACAGCTGGGACTGCCTACGACGCCTACTTGATGCTCGGGAAGCAGGCCGAGAGGTGAAGGCACGCAGCACGCACTCAAAGCCAAAAGCAAAACCAAATCAAAAGTAAACGCAGACAAATCAGTCAGATAAATTTCGATAGATTAAGAAATACATCGAACCATTCTACATGAAGCCACAAATTCAATGTCTTTCAATGTGCTGTACTCCATTAGTATTGTAAATATTCTTAATCATTAGTATGTGTATGCGACAGTAACCAACAAAGGGTTGAGCTTAGTGCCACCTAAGGACAAAAACCCGATAGAAACAACGAAACCGAACGCTCCTCACGAGTTTGGACTGTATGTTGTTGTTTTCAAATTTAGTGTAAACATTACCAGAGAGTGCCCGGTCGTGCCGGGGCGGAAGTCTCGGAAAAAGCAACAGCAATAAGAAATCAATGGCTTATGGACTGTAGGAATGTTTGTCAGATGCAGAAGCAATGCAACATTGAGCTCCTGAGGCCGTCAACGAAGGAACAAATGGTTGTTCAGATGCCAAAGAAATGATATGGAATCCATAATGTGAAAGAAGCGTGCACGAATGGCTGAATAATAAATGAATGATTGAATGAACGAATGAACAAACCAATGAATGAATGACCAGTCAATGAGTGAACGGGATGAATGTGAATGAATGTGAATGAATGTGAATAAATGTGAAAGAATGTGAATGAATGTGAATGAGAGTGAATGAATGTGAATGATTGTGAATGAATGTGAATGAATGTGAACGAATGTGAATGAATGTGAATGAATGTGAATGAATGTGAATGATTGTGAATGAATGTGAATGAATGTGAATGAATGTAAATGAATGAATGAACGAATGAATAAATGAATGAACGGAATGAATGAATGAATGAATGAATGAAATGAAATGAAATGAAATGAAATGAAATGAATGAATGAATGAATGAAAGAATGAATGAATGAAATGAATGAATGAATGAATGAATGAATGAAAAAGGAATG